TCTCTCTCTCTCTACCCTCTCCTGTGTGTCTCAGGAAACCAGAAAAAGGCATCCAGTATCTGATAGAGCGAAACTTTGTTCCAGACACTCCAGTGGGTGTGGCTCACTTCCTGCTCCAGAGGAAAGGCTTGAGTAGGCAGATGATTGGCGAGTTCCTGGGTAACAGACAGAAACAGTTCAACCGAGATGTCCTCGAGTGAGTTTGCAGCAAGTAATGTCTGTCTAATCTCTGTCACATTTGTATGAGCAGATGGATCATTTTACCTCAACCCTGAAAACATGAGGATTCTCTAAAACAGGTTTTTATTTTGACTTCCCAGCTATGCCAGTGCACAGAATTTTTTTTTATCTGCTTTCCAGGAACATAAATCATCATTTAGTTGCAAATAATGTTGCCAGTTTGCAATCTACACTCATTAAATAGTCTTTGGAGTTACTGAGTACTACATAATGACTCGAGTTACATCCAGGAAATAAACAGAAATAGAATCCACTCAGGAAATTGCTGTGATGCTCAGATAAACATAAGGACCCCATTTATATTCTTCAGTCCTTTTAATAGGGAAGAAAGTCGTAAGGGTCTTGTTTTTTCCAGTAGTGATTCTTTGCATCATTCAAATAGCGACTCTACTTTATGCTTTAGAATGGACAGACTTATCTGTCACACACTTGAAGCACATCAGCTCTAGCAGAGCCCATTGAGATTCAGTGGAGGATAAGGCCAGGAAAGGTCCGTCAGTGTCAGTTTGACAGGCATATCTAAAGGGCTCCTTGAGAAAACGTCTATAAATCCTGACATGTAAGGTAGCACGGTATCAAGGCTAGTCACAATCCTCTCTTCAGCCAAGAAAAAAGTTCTATTTAAGTAGAAGTGTCAATTTCACAGTGGAAAAAAACTCCATTATACGTAAAAGTCCTGCTTTAAATCTGCACTAATCAATATTTTTGAATGAACAGCAGGCAAATGTAGCACCCGACTCTGAAGTTCCCTTCATCTCTACAGAGCTTTTTAGTGTCTTTCAGAACATTGTCTTTGGTTTTACAGCCCACAACTGTTGCTGTTTTGGTTCATTCTCACCGCTCTAACCCTCGGTTCACACTGCCTACCTGCTGTGTGGCTCCTGCTGCCAGCCCTATCTTTCTATACTGAGTTTGCCTTTGATAAATACCATAC